CAGCTGTTTGGCGCCGCAAGCCTGGGAAGGGAGGAGAATTAGAGCAGGGGCGGCGTGCTCAGGGAGGAGGCGGAGCAGAGGTGAGCTGGGGTGGGGAGCTGCCGCACGGGCTCCCCGGAGGGAGGGGAGCTGCCGTGGGGGGTGGGGGGCGCCTCAGAGCAAGGGGGGGGCGGGGAGCTGCCGCAGGGCTGGGGGCAGGGGGCACAAGGTGGAAGTTTCGCCTAGGGCGTGAAACTTCCTTGCACCGGCCCTGTCTTCCTCTAAGCTTCCCAAAGAGATTTTTCACTTGAGAGCCTGGGGCTGTTGGCTATTACACCAAACATCTTATGTAACTTGTCCAACTGGCTGGTAATTGATATTAAGAAAGCCTATCCCAGCATGGTTCTCCAGGCTCTCTCAATCACCTCTAGTAAATACAAAAAAACATTATTTAAAGCACAGTAAAAATGTCAATGTGATTAAACCTACCTCTGAACTAAACACCAGAAAAACGAATAGAGGGGTATGGCAAGAGGGGGAAAGGGAAGTCCTGTGTGCTTTGTGTAATGGCATTTAGAAATCACAATAAAAACACTTGCACCTCTAGGGATGCAAAGTAGCCATAAAGTTGTCTTAACTGGTACAACCCAGAGGTGGCTTTTAAAAGCCGTGCCCAGGGCTACATTTGGAGAGTACCTGGACACAGCTGCCAAGTGTTGTGCAGCTCCATAAGGGATAGTTTACGCAAATTATTTCAAAATATGCAACTTAGCTCATTAAATATTTTGCATATTTGCAGTATAGCTTTTTAAATAATTTGCATATCTGTAAATTTATATGGCCATAAACTTCAACCTAAGGTCAACCACCCTGTCCAAGCAGGGGTGGGAGCAGGACGTGGCACTGCACAGGGCTTGGCAGCTGTGGCAGGTGGATGAGAGCTGAAGGGTGTCTGGGGAGTGGAGGGTGTTGGGTGGCAGCAGTGAGGGAGGCAGCGGGTTTGTGAGGGTATCCAGGGGGAAGCCAAAGTAGCTGGGAGTTGGGTGTAGTTAGGTTTGTGGAGCTGTCCAGGGGAGAGCTCAAGGGAGAAGCTGGAGATAGCGGGGCTTGTGGGAGGTGTCTCTGGGAGAAATGGGGGTACCTAGGGAAGGAAGCTTGGTGGGAACTAGGGCGGGATGCCAGGGGAAGGATAGAGGCAGATGGGTAGGGTGGCTGAGGGTTGGGTGAAAGCTGGAGGCAGCCCAGGGCCTGTTTAGGCCTCTTGCTGAATGGGGGAGTTTGGGGCCAGTACTGGGTCCTCTTCACCTGTCTGGCTGCTCCTTCCCTGCTCAGGTCCAGCAGTGGGAGCTAACTAGAGTGTGACATTTGGGAGCAAGAGGCAAGCATTCTGGGCGGGATACTATCCACTCAGTAGGAGACACGAATGAGCTCCATCTAGACTCCTTTCAGGGCTCTGTTCAAACCTCACTTTTTCTCCAAAGCCCACTAACAATAACAGCAGTTGGAAGACGGAGATGCCAAGTGGAGAGGAAGAGGTAAAGAAATGCCAAGCCCTAGGATGGCAAGAGCCGGTCCATCGTGAATTAAAATGTTATGTCAATCTTCATACTGTATCAGATACCTAGATACCATGGAGAGAGAGATGTTACTCTTTGAGAGGCTGTCAGCCTCTGAGCCATAGAGTCTTTCCTGGCAGCTGGCAGAATTAAATGGTTTTAGAACCAAGTAGCAAGGAGAATGAAGTATTGGAAGGGCAGATGGGCCCAGAAGAGGATCTCTGTTATGAAGTAATGAACAGAGAGAAGAGGTTTTGGGGAAATTACTCAGACCTCTGTCACTTTCTAAACAGAACCAAGCAGAAGATGCCTTAGCTCATCTTTTTTCAATTCCACTTGACATTTGACAATGTTGTAAACTCTGGACTTCGCTCTTGTATGCACATCAAATTTTATCCCCCATGGATATGCCTGTGACATCCTATAGGCTGCAGAGAAGGACAAAATGATTTGTCAATGAAATATTATGGCAGGAGTCATCAAATCACAGGTAGGGTAATAAAGGAGAAGGCAGGCAGACCGGTTTGTTGTTACAGCAGATTTTTCAATAACTCTAAGGGGTGAGAACTCAAAATGGAGAAGGTCTGCTATTCACTAGCTGATCCACTTAAAGCTTCAAAGCATCCTGTCTGATTTCTACCTTGATTTTCATTTGCTGCCTCCCTACCAGGTGAGTTTTTGAAAAGTATTTTGTACTAGCTATAAAGTTTTTATATGTAAATGAAGTAAATGTGTAAGAACAATTGCTTGTGTCAGACACTAAACGGAAAGTTGAATGTAATTGTTCAATCGCTACATTTTATAAAATCTTTTAAATGAGTTTCACAAGTGCAGTTATCTGCTTTTTTCACTCGACAGTGCAGATATCTATTATTAGCTCAGTTGCTTTATTAAACTAATATGTTATTATTAATATTTTTATTTTTAAATTTTAAATAATATTTAATATAATTAAAC